CCAGGGCTTGTGCACCAACAAACAGGGAAGCACACTTTGCTGGGACACAGAGTAAATAAACCTACATTTATACCTGAGCCCCACAGGGTGGCCACTTGTCTCTGAGACAGATATGGTCAAAATTGAATTCCATGGCCCTTGGAGGAGGGCTAGGCTGCCCAAGAGGAGCCCAGTGGGAGGCATCACCCCCACACTCTCACAGGTGACTCTCATGATCCCAGAAGGCTCGAGTGAGGAGGGAAGTCACCCAGCCACCCACTTCTGCTTGCCCCCCTCATGTCCAGTCTAGGCGGCCCCCTCCTTTCCCTGGGCCTGGACAACCTGCAGGCCTTTCCCAGGTCAGCTCCTCGCTGGGTCCCAAGCCTGGGACCAGGGTACCCATCTCTTCTTTACCATGCATTCTCTCATGAAGATGCACCCCATGCTGCTCAGATGACTCCTCACCTTGGAAGACCTTTTATTTTCAGTTCTTTAGAATTCATATGTTCAGCAAGTATTGTAAGTCCCCCTACTATGTGCCCAGTACTAGGCTCCGTGCTGGGTATCATTAAGGGTAAGAACAGGTGTGACAAGCTCCTCCATGCTCCCAGCTCATGGTCCAGAATGGGGGACAGAAAAATGCACTTACAAGTATGAACCTTAATAGGTGCTTTGAAGAAGGCGAGTGAGCAGGGTGCAGAGTGAGAGAAGGCACCAGGGAGGTGGCAGAGATGGGCATAGGGCATAAATGTCTGCAGGAAGGCACTCTGGGCAGAGGGCAATACTTGTGTGTCTTGGGCAAGAGTGGCTCTTGAGAGAGGCACCAGAGAGGTGGCAGGGCCAGCTCACCCCAGCCTCAGAGGCTGTGGCAAGGACCTGAGATTTTATTCCAGTGCAATGGGGAGCCATAGAGGCTTCTATGCCTGGGAACAGCACGTTCTGAGTTCCCTTTTTAGAGGATGGAGTGGGTTACCACAAACAGGAGGCAGCAAGAACAGCCTCTGGAACCCATCCAGCTCAGTCTCATCAGAGACACCCAGGAGACCAATATAAGCAAGGCGATGGACGAAGGAAACACCCGCCCTGTTAGTATTTGGACTGTGTCCACACAACTGTAATATTGAACACACGCCAAACATCATTTTCCAGTTTGTATTGCTCAGCTGCAAACAATATAGAACTGTGTTAGAAAAAGCAAAGTTCTCCTGTAGTCCTACTACTGCTACTATCTGATCTATTTCCTCCTACCATTTCTTATACACAATGGAGATTACTTAATACAGTTCCTTCATTTTGAAAAGTTTCTCCCAACAGTATTAATTTTATAATTTAGAAAAAAAAGCCTTTATATTGAATTTCTCTAAAAATGTCCCCATCATGGGGCCAGGGAAGAGGGGATCAGCTGGCGTCCCCAGGAGCTCTGAGTTGTCTCAATTCATCCAGCTTGGCTGTCTGGTGGGCCAGCTTTGGGGGGCTCACCCCCTTGATCTCCAGGCCACTATGCACCCCAATGTGTACACAGGTTTGGAGTAGAGCAGGCAGGGGAAGTGGGGCTGATAAGCAGAGTGGGGCACTTATCGGTCCCCGCAGGAGGCCCGGAAGGTATCTGGAGGGCCAGGTGCCCACCCCACACCATGCCCTATGTAGACAGACACCAAGGCCCAGGGCATGCTGGGCAGCTGCCTTAATATTTTCGCTGTATCTGGATGGTCCCCAACCCCAGGGGGTTCCTGGTTTGGTGTTTACATCTCTGGGGGACAAACACAAGTGTGACTCAGCAGCCGTGGTGAGCTGGCTCTGGGATGAGGGAGGTGGTGGAGCACTGGGTGGGGTTGGGGAGGCCTGAACCCAGTCCCCAGTCAGGACAGTATGTGGCCCCCAGATTCGGGATTCTCGGGTCCAAAGCCTGTCTCTCTCACACACCAGCTCTCTGGAATTGGGAAGGGGCTGAATCTCCCTAGCCTCGGTTTTTCCATCTGTGAACTGGGCCCATTCAACCTCCCACAGGTTGATGGGAGGCTTCAGGGAAATAATACACATAAAACCACAGAAAGTATTCAATAAACATCAGTTTTCATGAGCTCTGGGGCTCTGAGGACAACCTTAGCTCCAGGGGTGAGAGACTAAAGCAAGTGGCGGTGTTGGTGATGGTCTCATTTGACTGGAAACAGAGTCCTTCATCCACAGGCATCGGGACCTGGGTGGGTTGCATAGGAATGAGGGTGGTTTTCTCACCTCCACCCTTGATTACTTGCCGGGCTTTCCCTCTGGGCCCTGTGTGCCCACCTCCCGTTGCCTCTCCTTGGGGGCCCAGGAATGGGGGCTCCACCCCTTGGTGTCTCAGTTCCTCCATCTGTGTAATGGGGACACAGAATGTCACCTCGAGGGTAACAGAGACCATCCCTGAGAGATGCTCGGCACAGTCCTGCCCCAGTCAGCGCCGCAGGTGTAGTCCTGTCATTACCATCGTCTGTGATGACTGTTGCAGGACTAGTGGCTGCCTCCCGAGTGCACAGACAAGGGTGACATTGAAAGCTGTCTCTCCTGGGTTCACCACCATCTAGAGCCCTCAATCCTGGGCCCCAGGAGGATGTTTTATGAGGTCTCAAGGCATGTCCCAGAGGCTGCCACCAGCCGATAGCGACAGGAAGTGGGCTGGCCGAGAATGGCCCTCCAGATAACCCTGGCAGCGCCCGTAACCCCTTCCCCGCCCCCAAGCCCTTATCAGCTGCAGCAAATGTCTCTTCTGAGCTGGAGCCCCATGAGGACCTCCCTGACCCTTGCCAGTGTTTGCAAACTAAGACCCAGCCAGCAGGAGAGGGCAGGCAGGGAGGGACAGGCAAGGGTCCCAGTAAAGAAAAGGGAACCCTGCCTGGTAGGATCTCATCTGACTTGGCCCCAGGAACCCTGACCCTTCCCTGGGCAGAGGCCAGGACCCTGGGCCACTGAAGGGGGGATTTACAAATCTCAAAGTCAAAGTGACTGGAAAAGGACCAAGGAGGTCTCTTGGGGACCCATGGACATGGTGCAGGGAAGGCCCCAGGTCTAACCTGAGCCCCCTCCACACATTAGGGTGACCCCATCTCATTTCAAAGCTAAGGGCTGACCACATGGAGTTGTCGTGGAGTCACACCCAGTTACTCAGCTCTGCATGGCTGCTCCACTCTCCGGGAGTCCCTCTGCCCCTTTCCATGTGGACACTGCAGTGACTCTAATCTCTGTCCCCGCTCTCCTTTCCAGAGCCCCAGCCTATCCCGGCTCAGATCTGCCCAGCACACTCCAATCTGAATGGATGGTCCCAAAACTCCCACTTGTGTCCTCTACTAGAAATTTCTGATGCCTACTCCCCATCTGCTGAATCAAATTCAGAATGTTTGCAGGCCTGTTTCCCTGCTGTGCCTGGCACAGCACTAGATGCAGGGAAACAAGGCAGAAACCCTCCGCCCTTCTAGAGCTGGTGATACAATGAGGTGGGAAAGGGACCCGATGAGGACACAAATGAAAGGGTACACAGTTCTATTGCCTAGACAGAGACAGGATCAGAGGAGGCTTCTGGGGGGAAAAAACTTTTGAGCTGAGAGCTGGAGTTCAGCTGGTGAAAGCTAGAGGATTCAATAGCAAGTACAAAGGCCCTGGGGTGAGTTGTGCCAGGTGTGGGTGGGAGGCAACAAGGCCAGGGCCCCCCGGCCACGGCGACAGCTTTGGCTTTTCCTTTGAGGACAATGGAGAGCCACAGAGGGCTCTGAGCTGAGGGAGGTGTGGATGTGAGGGTGAGGGAGAGTTCAGAGCGACTTGAGTCATTGGCTTGGCCACTGTGTAGAAGGTGAGATGGGGAACAGATTGCATGTTATGAGGCCCAGTTCTGCTCTGCAGGGTCAGAGGAGGACAAGCCTGGTGCCTGGAGAGCAACTGGCCCCAAGTAGGTCATACCCAGGACCTCTGAGCCTTTGCTCAGACTGACCTCCTCGCCAGGAGTGCCCACTCCATTCCTGTAGATCACTGGGAACCCCTCGTCCTACACAGCCCAGCTGCCACCCATGCCCCTCCCACCTGCAGCATCCTCCCCTCCCCATGCCCCAGGTTCAAGGGACTTCCCACTGACAGAATCAATCCCACTGCACTGAGCTTGCCAGGGGCATGTGTACTGCTATCCCTCCCCAGACCACTCTCACAGCAGACTGTCCTCTGGGTCTCAGCTGTCTCCCAGCTCCAAACATCATCTCCTGCCTCTTCCCCCTTACTGCTCCTCCAGCTACCATGCCTCAGTCAATGCATCCTACCCCAGGACCTTTGCACTTACTGTTCTGCCTAAAATCCCACCATTCTCCATCACCCTGTGATATTTCCTTCAGTGTGATCAGTATTTGAAGTTACTGTTTGCATGTCTGTTGTGTCTCCCCAACTAGACTGTTTGACTATCTCCAGTGCTCTGCATGTAACCCAGCACACACATCTTAGAATGAATGAATGAGCAACTAAAAAATGAGTGACTATCCTCTCCAGCCGTAACAGCTTCTCTGTGAGGCCCCGATGATTTCCCCAGTGCTGAGTGGTAGCTCCATCTGAGTTCTGGGAGATGCTGGCTGGGTCTATCCCCAGGTTGGGGCCCCTGAGGCCCAGACCAAGACCTGCCTTCCTAACTTTGACCTTGCACCCCTCCTGGCTGCCAGTACGGCCACCTGCTTCCTCTCAGCAGCTCTTACTCAGTACCCTCTTTTCTCTTAGGGAGCTGCCCCTCTATTCCATGGGGTTCTGCTGGAGCCATCAATTTTAATACTGCCCCCAGGGCCCTGCTCTAAGCACATCACCTACACTGAGCCAGTGGGTTCTCCCCTGGGATTTTGGGCAGACTGCTGAGTGAGGGTGGGATGTCGGTTCCTTCCCTGCCTCAGTGGGTGGTAATGGGGGCTGAGTCTATCCCATCACTCTGGATGCCTGCAGGCTGGCGAGGGAGGTGCTCAAAGTACAGCTTGGATTAAAATCCCGGCCAGACAGGTCCCTGGTTTGAGTGACACCATGTGGCCCTGACTTGCCCATGACCACTGTGTGGGGGGCACCAAAGGTGCCCACATTAAGAGAATTACAGACCAACTTTTTCTTTAAAGAAAACAAGTTTTATTTTTATAATCAGAACATTCTAATAAAAATATTATTATAACATTAGCTACCTGTATTTCCTGGGCCTTGACTGTGTATCAGGCGTGCGGCAAAGTGCTTGCCGGCATCAGTCAGCCCCGAGGCCTCCCGCTTCCCTGAGGTAGGTCTGAAGGAATACCCCCAGCGCCCCCCAACCTTCCGCCCTCTCCCACATCCCCTCAGCCAGGCTGCGCCTCATCTCCTGCCACCTCCAGGAGCCCTGTCACTGTGTTGGGATTCTCGCCTCCCTTCTCCACCCAGCCCCAAGGCAGGCAGGACATGTTAGGCTGGTGTGCAGCAGGGGACACCGAGGAGAGAGGGTGAGGACACTGGTCCAGCCCTTCAGCCAGCATCACCTAGGGCCCCTCCCACCCCTACAGCGGTGGCAGGGCAGGTAGGAACAGGCTTCTGAGACAACTTAGTGTCGCTGAGACACCCCCACAGTGTAGAGACACCCACTCTCTGAGGGGCTACTGGTGCTCCAGCGATACTTTTCAAACAGAAATACTGTCCTGTCTCCTTCGGCAGAGCCACAGACAAAAGTGAGAGTCTCAAAGTCAAAAACAGGTCTGGTTTCCTGGGGGCAAGAGCCTCCACTGAAAAAATAAACTGAAATTCTGAATCATCTTAGTAGCAAAACAATGACGGTAAGAAAAAAGGCCGCAGTGCTTGGAGGGCTAGGGACGCGGCCGTGGCTGGTGGCCCTGCTGCACTGGAGCCTTGGGGTCTTGCAGAAGACACCCCCGTGCCGTCACTAGAAACGAGAATTCCACGAGGCGGGGCTCCTGCACACGGTCTCCCGCGTTCACAGCTTGTGCAGACGGAGCGAGAATGCAGTCAATTCGTGTCGCTCCTTTAGGTTTCCCTGGAGTAAGGCATCTCTGGGCAGGACAGTTTCTGCAGGCCCGACGGGAGGCCGGGTTCTGCGGCGGGCAGGGGCGGCCTCGCCGGATGCGGAGAAGATGCTGGGGCCCTCGGCCTGGAGCTCGGGGGTGGAGGAGGAGGTGAAGGGAGAAGGCAGGCTGTGTGCTGGGAGGTCGGGTTGCATCTTCTAGAGCTTCCGCTCATCCTTCTCTCTCAAAGTCCTCCCTCCAGACATGGCAGGTCCTGAATTTAAAGGGAAGCGGTTTCCAGGCCATCTGGGGTGAGGTGGGGGGTTCTGCAGGGTCCCCAGAGGCACAGGTGCCCTTGTGCACCCCGAGATTGGTCAGCCGCTTGCCTGGTGGGTGTGTGGGTGATAGGTGGCGATCGGGGCAGCGGCCTCATTGCATCCTGTCGGGCTGCAGCTGCGGAGGCTGGTACTGCACGAAGGTGGTGCCCGCAGGGGCCGCAGTGGAGAGGCCCGGGGGCATGGAGGCCGGGTAGCCGTAGCCCACGAAACTGGTGACCGAGGCGGGCGAGGCAGCGTATGGGTACTGGTCGTAGGTGGCTGGTGGATACTGAGTGTAGGCGGGGCTGGCCGGCGTGTACTCAATGAAGGGCGAGGACAGCGACGGGACGGGAGCAGCCGGGATCACCACGCTGGGCTGGACGATGGCTTGTGGGTAGATGTAGTGGGGGGTCAGCCTGTGGGGTCAAACAGAGAGGGCTGAGGGTAAGGCAGCACACTGGCTCCAGGTGGGGCCCCGAGAGCCGGGTGCTGCTGTGCCCATGCCCGGTCCGGTTTGCTGTGGCTCGAACATGGAAGCTGTGCAGCCTCTGCCCTGGCTGCGCCTGCGACGTTCCCCTCCTCCAAGTCTGAACGCAAACGTCCTTCCTCAGTGGACCCCTCCCAGGTACCTCTTCCAGCCCTGCACAGGACCACCAACATGACGGGGGGGCCATGTCTGAAAATGACTTAGAATCTCCAGAGGGTGACAGCAGGCATCAAAGGCAGTACGGGCGCGCCGAGAGTGGGTCCCCACGTGGCCGCACAGGCCGCACGCCCACGAAGCCTGCCCTGTCCCCATACTTCCCTGTTCATCTTCCCAACATCTGCCACCCACCAAAGGAAACCCTACACAGTCGGCTGATTCACCACGTCTGTCTCCCCACCCAAAGCGTCGGCTCCCCCAGCGACGTTCCTTCCCTTCACGGCCGGTCCCGGCCCCCAGCTCAGTGAGTACTGAGTGGAGAGTACATAAACGACAGGACAGAAACTGCAACAATGACGATGCTGGTGGCGGGGAAGCTGACGGTGACACCTCAGAAGGAGCAGCCAACGGCACTGGGCTGCTAAACACCTGACACGCGGTAACTGTGAGATCCAGCCTCAGGTCGGCCTTCACATCAGTACCTGGTTGCACAACAGAAACATGGAGCTCAGCAGCTGGCCCCAGGTCCCATGGCCATGGCCAGAGGGGCTGAGGCTCCTGGAAGCTCTTAACTGCCTTGCTGGTCCTACTGCGAAACTGTTACTAAGGCCTCGCCACTCCACTGCTGGCCCTCCAGGACAGGGATCGACTCCTGCATGTCACAGACAGGAAACTGAGACCAAGAAAGGCAGTATCAGCATGTGCCCACTGTGCCAACCAGCTGCTGGGCTGCCCCGGGCAAGCGGCTGAGCCTCTCTGAGCCTCACAGCCCACTAGGCACAGAGGGACTTTGTGGGGTAGACATCATGCCACAGGCATCGCTTCTTCCTCCTCACACCAGCAGGAGCTACCCATGACGGGGCCACCTGGGGTGACATGGGACCCCAACTTCCTTCCGCACCTATAAGATGGGCTCAGGATCCAAAGAGAAGCTGCTGTGAAAGAAAAAGGGAAATGTTCCCTGGGGTGCTCTCATCCACTTGGCAGGGGCGGAAATGGGCAGCTGTCTGGAGAGCAACTGCGCAGCAGGCGGGCCACTGAGAGCGAGCATACGCTCCGTGCCCCAGGTCAGGCCCCCTTGGCACCCGAGAGAAACCCTCACTCCAGAATAACATGCACTCAGTACATCACAGCAGCACCCATGGAATCGGTGAAAAACTAGAGAAACCCAGGCGTCATGCACAGGGGACAGGGCAGTCCAGTGTGCCTCCAGGCAGGGAGACTAGGCCCCTACTCAGCCCACGCCTCCGCCCCCCACACGCAGTCAGGAGAGAGAACTGAGCAGGACAGAGATGCTGTTTACACAAAACTGAGATATCTGTGCTAAATGGTGATGCTGTAGATGCTTAAAAAGCAAATGTGTATTTATAAACACGCTAAGGACAGTGAGGCTGACTCGCATGAAGCTACTGTTTTCAGGGGCCCACGGGCTTCCGGATTACATGTGGGTTTGAACATGCTTAGCAGCAGGCGGATGGATTCAAGTGCACCATTCGCCATAAAGAGCACAAATCACAACAGCCTGGACACAGAAACCACCAAAGTGTCGCCCAGTGATGAGTGGATAGAGGATGCACAGGTTGTGGTGAATCCAGGCCATGGAGTATTATTCAGCCACAGGAAGGACTGCAGTCCTGACACATGCTAAATGCTGGGTGAACCCTGAGGACATTATGCTGAGTGAAATCAGCCACAAACGGCCAAACACTGTGCTTCTATCGATGTGCAATGTCCACAACAGGCAAATGCAGAGAGGGACAGAGGGTGATGCTTCTGGGGCTTCAGGGGGTGGGGGGGAGTGCTCGGGGCTCCTCTAGGGGTGAGGGAAAAGTCCTGAATTACACAGTGGTGACACTTAATGCCTTCAAATGATAGTCTTGAGATTAGGTGGACTTTGCCACAATAAGAGCACATATGTAAGGGCACCCTGAGCAGGAACAAACCACTGGTAGGGGACAGTGCTGGCTGGACCTGGTGTGGGCAGAGCTGTGGTGAATGACGGCGCTGGAGGCCCCATGGACCAAGCAGCAAACATCTAGGGGAAGAGAGCCTGGGACACACCTGGCTCCATGCCCAAGGTGCCCCAGCTCCCTCTGACCACTGGCCCTCCTAGGTAGCAGCACCCCAGTGGTTGCCATAGCAATACATCCATACCCGCACAAGGAAGGTCCTCCCTGCACCCACATGGGGAATGTTTCGCAGTTTTTGTCAAGAGGCCCTGGCTCAGGGCTACAATACCTGCTTCCCTGATCCATTTAGAAGCCTCTGCTGTCCACCCCTCCAGCCTCCTCCATGGGAACAAGAGCCTTGAACAAAGCCAGGCCTGGGTTTGAATTCCACCTTGGCCCCTGGAGTTGGGAGACAGGAGGATATGCTCTGGGCCAGGACACAGCACTGAGCAGACTGTACAATCCCTGACTTCTTGGGGCTTGGATTCGGGGAAGGGTAGAAGTCACACAAACACACCAACCCATGAATCAGTCCTGGGACTCCCAGGGATGTTTAGGGAAGGCTTCTTGGAGGAGGAAGCAACTGCACAGAGCTGGAACTCCATGGCCTGTCTCATGTGAGCAGTTGGAGGGGCGGGCTCTGCCCCGACACCTAGTGCAACAGCCCTCAGGCACACGCCCCTCCAGACAAACTAGGGGCTCTGGTGATCCAGAGGCCTCCTGGGAAGGAGCAAACAGGGATGGATAAAGCGTGTCATGGGGCAGTGCCTACCATGCCACCGTCCTAGCATCATCAGTGTGGTACCCCAACCATGTGAGTCCACACCCAGCTTCCAGAACCTCTCGAAGCCAGGGCAGGGGTGGCCCTACCTGACACCCCCCATGTATTTGCTAAAAATGTAGATCCTCACAGACTGAAGTTGGGTGAGGCGGGGACCCTGCAGCTGACAGCTCCCCAAAGTTTCTAACGCACACCCATATTCGGGAACTGCTGCCTAGATCAGGGCCTCACACTGTCCACACAGCAGTACCTGGGGCTTTACAGGTGACAGGTTCCTGGCCACACCTGGCTCGAGGTCTGGCCAGCTGAGACTGCTATTGCATGGACCAGGTTTCAACACCCAACGCTGTCAGGACCAGAGCTCTGCCCTGGCCACCAGAACTGCCTACAGGGGACACTCAGACACAATGCAGGTGAACAATGTTTAAGTTGGGAAAGAAGGGGACCGTTTCCTGACCCTTAGGGATACTATGTGCATCTATTTACCTGTTTCCCTCAGGTGCTCTGCCTCCCACCACTCAGTATGTGAAAACCCAAGATAACTTACAAAGCTTTTCACAGCCATGAAAAAGGTGCTATTGTTACCCTATTTCCGAGAAATGGAAACTGAGGCTCAAAGAGGCCTGAGTGACTTGTGTAATCCCACAGCCAGGGCACCGCAAAGCAGAGTTGGCTCCCGTCTGTCTGCCGCCCGGTACCTATGCCCACACAGACTGGCTGTGGGCTGGGGCCTGGGAACCTTGGCCCACCCAGATGGGAGAACGGCCCAGGCACCATGAGTGCCTGACCAAGACATGGAAATTCCTGGTGGTTTTGTCCCACCAAGGAGCTCAGAGACTGGACCCCAGACAGGTATATGCACCAGAATGAAAGGGAGGATGGTGGGTCCTGCTGCACGGAGAGGCCCAGGGCACAAAACAGCAAGACTAGCTGAGTGGAGGGAAAGGAAGCGGCAGAGCCCACCAGGCAGGGCTGGGCCCACTAGTGCCCCTCAGCTGTGCGCTCAGACAGTCACAGAGCTTTTCCTGTGTGTGGAACTGGTCTGGTGAAAGATGACCTCAGGGCTCACTGTGAGAACCGAGACCCTCCACTAGGACAGCAGTTCTCAGTCAGGGTGACTTGCCCTCCAGGAGACGGGGCCACATCTGGGACATTTCTGGTTGTCACAATGGCATGCCACTAACATCCAGTGGATGGAGGCAAGGGATGCTGCCAACATCTGCAATTCTCAGGCCGGCTCGCCACAGAGAATTCCCAGCACCACACCGAGGTGAGACCCTGCCGCAGACTATAAAGCAAAGGGCAAATACAAGCACTTCTCATCACTTTCATGCCCACAGATGCCCACACAGGGGGCTGAGAAGGCCAGGTCGGGGACCCAGGGCTGCGCATGGGCACACAAGAGTGCACCCCCCCCCTCCAGCCTACTGAGCTCCTCAGTGAGAAAGAAAACCCAGCCAAACTGCAGTCAGCCCTGCCTGAGGGCAGCCCCCACGCCCCTTCCCCAGGCCTGCACATGCAACAGGCAGGGGTCCCAGCTCCCAGGCAGGTGAGGGGAGGGGTGCAGACAACAGCCAGGGGCAGCCAGTGCCCAGGAAACAGACTGCAAACTCCGCACACTCAAAGCAAAACTCTTAGTGAGAAGGATTTGGCTGCAGACTGGAGGACCCATTTCTGAATGCAAAGCTACCCCCAAAAGTAAAAATAAAAAAGGCAAATGGGCCAGTTTCACTTTTTTCTGCTCTCTGGAGGTTTTTAGCCACCACACTAAAGACACATATCCACTGGAGGCGCGAGTTCAGGCTTTGTGGGCTGGTGGTGGGGCCTGCGCAGGCATCTGGGAACCCCCAGGCTCTCTGGGGCATCAGACAACAAGCAAGTGTGAGGGGTGGCGGGACGCTGAGCAGGTGAGATGCCCTCCCTGGGACCTTGCCAGGCCCCGGAACAGTTGTCTCCGCTGAAACCTGCTCTTCCCCCGAAGTGCACCCCACACCAGCCTCCCCTCACCGCCAAGACCAACCCAACCTTCCATCTGCCCAGGCC